GGGTCAGCGCACCTGCAGCTGGACCGAGGAAGGTGTGCCGGCCCTCCCGCGGGGCTCCCCGGCTGCCCACGGGAAATCGGTGACAAAGTCCGGAGGAAGCAACCCTACCCTGGCAGCCAGAGACCCCAGTTCTGGCTAGCCTGTTTTGCGGTGCAGCCTCATGTGAGACGCTTAGCTTCCCTGGGCCTGGATTTTGTTATCTGTCAAATGGAGGAAATGTGCCCCACAAGCTTGGAGAGAACTTGTCTCAAAATAAGAAGGGTGGGGACATAGCTCCCGGTTAAGCGCACCTGGGCTCAATCCCCAGTAACACCCCCCAAAACAAATAAATATGTATATAAATAAAAAACAAGAAAATAAATGAATAAAATTGAATAATAAAAATTAAAAAGATAATTTAAGGCAAGAGTTTCAGATTTTGAAAAGGAAGGGTTGTGGAGTCAGATGGACTGGGGTTGGAGCTGGTGCCTGTCTGTACAACCTTGTGCAAATTACTGGCCTCTCCTGAGTCTCCATTTCCTCATCCACAAAAATGGGATTATAGGGGCTGGGGTTGTGGCTCAGCGGTAGAGTTGTTCGCCTACCCCGTGCGAGGTTCTGGGTTTGATCCTCAGCACCACATATAAATAAACAGATAAAGGTATTCTGTCCAACTACACCTAAAAAATAAATATTTAAAAAAGGGATTGTATTTATGAGCCATTACTAGACAGCAGGCATTGTTCCAAATACTTTATATTTAATCCTCATAAAAACCCTATGTGGGCTGGGGGTGGTGGCGCACACTGATCCCAGGGGCTTGGGAGATTGAGGCAGGAGAATGAGTTCAAAGCCAGCCTCAGCAATTAAGTAAAGCCTTCAAGCAACTTAGCTAGGCCCTGTCTCAAAATTAAAATAACACTAAAGAAGGGGGTGTGAGGTGGTTAAGTGCCCCTGGGTCATCCTCAGTGGGGGTGGGGATGTCACTTAGTGGTAGAGCTGCTTGCCTAGCAAGAGCAATGTCCTGGGTTCAATCCCCCTGCACTGGAAAGAAGGAAGGAAGAAATGAAACGAAAAAAGAAAGAAACTAGATAAGTAATGGCAGTCCAGAGACTGAGTCAAGACTGCAGACTGAGGGCCTCAGCCAGCTCAGCTGGAGGCTGGAATGTCTCAGTTATAATGGGCCCTGTTATTTATTTTTTCAGATTTACTCTTAAGAAGCCAGAGTAGTCTCCCAAGGTCAAGCTGATGTGGCCGTGCAGATTGTCAGGAGCCAAAGGGGACCCTGGTCCTTCCGTGAAGCTGGGGTACTGAGGTCCTTCTAGCTGGAGGGGCGCGTGAGGGTTCTGGGGACCCACCTGCGCTCCAGGGAGCTGTAGGGGCCTGTGATTGCCGACAGAGGGCGCTCCGCTGGGACGGGCTTCCTGGGAGGTGTTTTCCCAAAAGCATACTTTGCAGTTCTTCCCCAGGACCTCAGAATATGACTTTATTTGGAAATAGGGTCTTTACAGAAGTAACCACGTTAAAATAAGGTCATCAGGGTGAGTCCTAATCCAATGCAACTGGTCTCCTTATAAGAAAGAGAAGCCTAGACAGAGACGCGCGCACCAAGGGAAAAATCATGTGACGTTGGAGGCAGAGATGTGGGGAATTCAGCCACAAGCCAAGGACACCAGAAGCCAGAGGCACGGAAGAGACTCTTCCAGCCACCCCTGCCCACACCTCTAACCAATGATAAGGTGATTTACTAGATAATCATATTTATTAGACTTTAATTAGATAATTAGAAGTGAAATAGCTCTGTTTATTAGGATTTTCACAGACAGCGCCTGTCTCCTGTGACATGAGCCCTGACAACTCCCTCATCCATCTTGGCCTCCCCAGCACGGCCCCTGGGACCTGGCCCAGAGCAGGGCCTTGGCAATGTTTTTGAATCACCTTAATCATAAGCTCCGTCCTTTAGGATAAACCATATATCAGGTGTCATCACCCAGTTGCTCCCTAAATCCTCTGCAGACACTTTTAGAGCTGTGATTGTTCCCCAGGTGACAGAGGAGAGCCCGTTTCCCCGAGGGCTCAAGGGACCCGTGCAGGGTGATGGCTGAGGAAGAATCAGGCACTGGGGGGACCCTGGGGGACCCTGGAGCCCCGGCTGTTGCCTGGAGAAAGGAATTGTGGGAGGAGAAGGGAGCCAGGGGACCAAAGGCCGCAGCAAAATCTCCCTCTTTTGAGCTGGGGAACCTCGAAAGGCAGCCGAGGGGGCCGGGTGGGCCTGTCAATGGTGTGTCCCAGGTTCCACCACCTGCCAGCTCCCAGCTGCGTCCTTAATGCCAGTGGTGAACTCTGCCCTCCTCTCTTTGGGCTAAACATTAACTCTCCTCTGTTGGTTTTGTGGAGCCCAGAATGCGGAGAGGGCCCTTCCCCTGGAGATGCACCACCCGTTTCCACTCAGGCACCTTGATTTGCATCCAAAGTTGATCCTCCTCACACACCCGAGCTCCTGGGTCGAAAGACACTCCAAGTTCACGGACCATTCCTAAACTAACGTGTGCGATTTCTCTTGATTTTGTCCTTGAGTTAGCAGCACCAAACAACAGCGCCCCAGAGCTTTCTGTATACTTGGT